TTCTGAAAACACTGAAACTGTACAGGAAAAATAATATTTGTACGCGGTTCACGTGGTACTTATATATCCGTATACATCTAAATTATGCATGAGAACCGTGAAAGCACGAATGTATAGGCAAAAGAGTATAATAAAGGGGCGTTTACTTACGTCAACGTTGAGTCCTTCTTTACTAGTGTAAACCTCTCCCTTCTCATCTGCTACTGGCTGCATGATATCCATCCAGCACAGCTGGTGGGAACGCGGAGGCCTGACGAGGGACAGAGATGCCCATAGTCTGAAGGGCACTGGAAAGGATACGGGTGAAGAGCTACAGAGAGGAAGAGATGCGTTCTTTGCACTGATCATTAGGCCGCTTCCCGCTATCCCTGGTAGCATGAATATAGGATGCTCAGGAGTGCTTGTCGAGCACTCTGCCCCCCCTTCATTCCCCCCTTCAAGTCTATTACATTCAGTCAAAGTTGTCGCAGTTTCAGCGGATAACCCAAGCAGCTGGAGGTGAATAAAGAAGAAACAAACACAAAACAAGACACGGAGGGGCGCATGACGCCGGTGGTGTCCGGAGTATGGCAGTTGCATTTCCTCAGCCATCTTCACCGTGACTAATTCACAGAATATATACACATATACTTCTCTGTCACTACATGAGGCTCATCTTTTCTGCCTAAACAAGCAAAAAATTCCTGTTAGGAAGAAAACGCACGTGCCATGGACCAGCGCAGCTGTGCACACGGGAGCCCACACTTAAAAGGAGTAGAAACGTACACCTAAAACAGACCAAGAGATAAATAACAGCTTATATAAAGAAGGATACAAATTTAATTCCTCGATTTGCATGCATTCCCTCCGGAAGCCCTTCTCGCAGAGAGCGGTCTGGTGCACAGACCGCTGGGGGGATGATGGGTGTAGTGCGTGTGCACTGCAATGTCTCGGTTCTTTTAGCTGCGCTAGAAGAATATGTCTAACTCTTGATTAATTAGATAAATATTCAGTTTTACATTATATTTTTGCCAACAGGCGGTAATCCTTTAGAGTGGATTACCACTCGGCTCCCGCCAGCACTGGTAGGTATAACGCTTGCTCTCAGGCCTTGATCAAGGACAGAAGCGAGCTGCGACGAAGGTAAAGACATAAAGTAAGAGTTCTCCGAAATCCTGCTGAACTTCTCTCCTGTCCCTAGGTTTCCTGGGTGTTGAGCTCAGGGCGGGTGTTGCGGTGATGAGGAAAATTGAAATGGGGTTGCAGCGCACCTCGCTGAGGCTGGTGATAACAAGCCGGCCTCACGCGTGCAGAGAAGGAAACTTCAACGAAGCTTCCTTTACTGCATGCTTTTTTTCTGAATGCACTGGTCTGGTGTTTGTATTTGCTTACATGCAACCTACCAAGGCCAAGTGAGGGTTCCTATGCTAGCTGTAGGCATACCAGGCTACACGAAAGTATACATCTCAGGATGGTCCAGGCGTTGTATTGCCTTAGTTGCGGAAGATATCTGGAGACTACTTCCAGGGAATTTCCGCAGGGACTTTCGGGTCCTGCGGGCCAGGTCCCAGTGCATTGTCTCATTGATTTTCTATGAATATTGAACAGCAATTAGTTTAGGTTTGATCGCTCTTTATTCGTAACAGAAGTTTCTCCTGCTTAAGTTGCTGCCCACTGCACTAACTCCATACGTGTGCCTGGAGTGAGGTTCCGGGTGCGCTATTTCGCTGTGAGATTCTACCCCTAACCGACAATCTATCCATCCGTAGACTGTAAATCTATCATTATACCTTGCGAAATTATAGGATGTGTCTACAGGTTTCAGAAATTTCGGTGTTTGTGGCCTGCCCTGCTGAAACCTAGGGCACTACAACTAGGGGCTGTTTCGGTGTGTTTTTTTTTTGCCACACTTGCGATTTCTTAGGGGTTCCCTTTCCCCTTCTCCCATTACAATTATTCACGTCTGTGAGAACCCACTGGTTCTCCTTACCAGTGCATTTGGATCAACCAAATCGCGGACCCTCCGAAAACTCACCGTGGCCTGCGGCTACCCTGGAGTATTCAGTTTTTGATGGCTTCCCAGCAGACCATCCCGACTTATTGCAAGTCTTGAAGGAGTTCCGTGGGTTTTGTCCAGATTTACTACCTGCTGAGCACCCTTCTAAGCGAAAGAGTGACCACT